ACAGGGGTGCCAAGGGAGCCCAGATGGGAGAAGAGGGTCCCTGCTTCTAGCTGAATCGGTGTCTGTTACCTTGCTGTGCACTTTTTTGCCCCTTTTAGTCTGACAAGTGCCCCTCCGCGTGCAGGTCTGGCAGCGTGGCACCGCACACTGATGTGTGAAAGGTGTTGGCACAGAGGGGTCTTTGCCCCAGCGTTTGGGGCTTTGCTGTTCAGGCAAGAAAAAAAACAAACTGGGAGGGGGATAACCAGCATCCCTGCTGCTGCAGGGCCACAGCTGCTCCACTCAACCTCTTCTTATGTATTGCAGAAAAGAAGAAGGAAAAAAAGGACAAAAAGAAAAGGAAGGCAAGTACCTCTTCCTCTGAGACAGCATCTTCATCCACCAGCTCTTCCTCATCTTCCTCTTCCTCCAGCTCTTCTGATGATTCCAGTGACAGCGACTCCAAAACAAAGAAGCGACACAGCAAAAAAAAGCAAATGAAAGACAAAAAGAAGAAGAAGAAGAAGAAAATAAAGAAGAAAGCAAAAAAGAAGTCAAAGGAAAAGGCTAAGGAGGAGAAAGCCAAGGGAGAAGAAGTGGCGCCCGGCCCCTCACTGGAGCAGTGGCAGGAGGAGTCGCTGGTGGACTCTGGACCACGTATTTTTTTCTGCTGAAGCCAGGGCATGTGTGTCGTGCTGGGGATAGACATGGGGTGTCTGAGGGAAGAGGGGCTGCGTACAGAGAGGAGCTCCTGACGCTCCTCCCTCCTACATACCGTGGCTGCCTCTGAGCCACACCAAGTGGATGTAAAGAGCCACGTTCAGAGTCATTTCTGAAGCGTTTAGCTGTAGCGTATAGATGTGAGCGGGGAACAGAGATGCCAGGTGGAAGGTCACAGTCAGCAGTGACAAACTGGCAAAGCTGGTACTGGCTTTGGGACGAGAACCAGCCCTTCCCTTGCGTGGTTCATCGCTGAACCCCCAGTACCACTGGGAAGCTGGTGCGGCACGCGTGTCTGTTCACGTCAGGCGTGGTGCTGTGCCCCTTGGCCAGGAGCCGGCCCCATGAGCACGGCTCTGATGAACTGATGCATTCCAGTTTTGACAGATGAACAAAAATCCCGAATCCAGGCTATGAAGCCAATGACAAAGGAAGAATGGGATGCGAGGCAGAGTGTCATAAGGAGAGTCGTGGATCCCGAAACGGGGAGAACCAGGTACGATCCCTGGGGAAAGGGAGGCAGGTTGTCCATCCCAGCCGTGTGGTGAGGGTTGGAGTTCTGGAGGCTGCCAGTCCACGGCACTGCAGTACCATGTGTGGATCCAGGTCCCCTGCAGCAGAAAAGGCTTGAGCTGATCCCTCGCAGGCCCCCTCCTGCCAGAGCTGCTGTAACTTACCCAGAAAGTGACGTTTGATACCAGATTACCGAGGCACGGGGCTGCATCCCACAGCCCAGAGCTGTGGGATGCTGACACCAGAGCACCCCGCTGCTGGAGGCAGAAGGCTTGCTCCTTGCACTGTGAAGGGTTCAGCTGCTTCCCATTAAATGGGACTCTGCAAACGGGGACAGAACAGGAGCCAGAGGGGTGACTTACCTCCTTACCTCGCTGCTTCACACGCTTGCCTTTCAGCTCCAAAGCACACGCACTCGGCCACAGTTCGTGCCCGCGTGCAAGGAAGGAGGGAATGTGTGCCCCTGGGGGTTACAGGCAGCAATCAAACCGAAGTTCATTTAGCTGCCAAATAGAAATGACCCAGTTTTAATAAACTGCATCTTCTCAGCAAGCAGAAAACATCATGCTGAAGAGAATTGGGTATGACAAGTCCAGTCTTAAAATAGAAGGCAGCCTGCGGGGCTCAGGGAGGTGTGGAACAAAGGTTGGTTCCCCATAAGGCATGTAATAAAGACAATTAAATTTTTGTTCATGTTTGAGGTGTGAGCTGCCTCCGACACTGCTTGGAATTTGCTCAGCAAGATGCTCCCTGGTCTGGCTGCCTTTCAGGCCCAAACTGGCTCCTGTTTCTGAACAGCTCTGCAGTTTCCTAGGGCAGCCAGGACTAGACCTGAAGTCTGTGTGGAAAAAAAAAAGGAAGGGGTTTTGCAGGGCTTGGGGCCACGGCTGTTGACAGCAAAGCCTGCAGATGGAGGGGTGGCAAGAGATGCTTTTATTACGAGTGTTTTCTCCTGCTGTGTGCGAGCATGACTGGCTCTGCACGCAGCAGACAGTGGCCACAGCCTGGGGCAGGGACGGCTGGCCCATGCAGGGGGATGCTGATTTCTCAGGGGACCACTCCTGTCCTTGCTGCAGCGTGGTGACATTAATCCTACAAGGGCAATAGAAAAACCTTCCATGCTATTTAAGCTTGATATGGCCCAAAAAAAGAGCCCCATAAGGCAAATATCAGGGGCAGGTCATCACTGGCCTTGCCTAGAGGCGCATCAGCCCAGGACCTGGTCCCAGGCAGGCGCTGCTGGGAGGACTGGGGGCTGCGTGCCTGAGCTGGGGCACAGCGACAGCCCTCGGGGTGGGGTGGGGGAGTCAGCACCTTCTGTGGTGGGAAACAGGGTGGCTGGCAGGAACTTGTCAGTAGCCCTCACGGCTTGTGGGTCTGTGCTTACCTTCCAGGCTTATTAAAGGTGATGGAGAAGTACTGGAAGAAATTGTCACTAAGGAGAGACACAAGGAGATTAACAAGGTAGGAGGGACTTGCCACCCACCTAAGCTGGGGAGCTGCTGCACCCAGAGGTGTTGTCTTGCCTACCTGGGGAGCCCAGTGACTCGACCAGGGCAAACCAAGCCCTGGAAGCTCCGCAGGGGACCCCACGGGTGGGTGCTGGTGGTCATGAACACCTGTGTCTCTCCCTTTGCAGCAAGCCACCCGCGGGGACGGGCTGGCCTTCCAGGCGAGGACGGGGATGCTGCAGTGAGTGTGCGAGTGCCAGCTGTGTCGGGAGCCCGTCCTGCTGCCGGCACCAGCCCGGGCGTGAGCCTCTGTCTCTGGACCACGTGGACAGCACTCCATCAAGATGCTTCCCCAGGGGCAGTTTCCATCCACTCTGTAAGTTATTGACTGGGAAGGAGAGCGACTTTAATGGTTCATCTCCCAGTAAACAGCTTCTCCCTTCCCTCTCCTGACTGGGGCCAGCATGGCTGTAATGCATGTAGTCCTGCTTGTCCCGATGCCCCTTTGGAGGCTGTAGGAGCTCAGCAGCACCCAGGGGATAGGCGTGCTGGCACTGAGCACCCATAGGTGCTGCTGCCCCAAGGCTCTGGGCTTTGGCGGGCAGGAGCCAGGACAGGGCACGTGCTGGGGCTGCAAAATATGCAGCTGGCTGCCACTTCTTCCCTTCCTTGCTGGATCTGCATGCCCCATGCTTACCTAGAGCTACAGGCTTGCGAGCCCTTCCTGCTCACCCACCCTGCTCAGAGGGGAGCAGCTGTGCCACTGGGTGGCTCTGCGCCTTCAAAAAGTGCCACCCTTGGCTGTGCCCCAGGAGCTTTCATCAGCCTTTCTGCAGCTTCACCTCCTGGGGTGGCACTGGGGGGCACTGACCTGGCACACAGCGCTGGGGTGCGGCAGGCGTGCTTTGCAGAGGGGTGGCTTTGCCTTGCTGTCTGTCCCTGCATGCGACTCGTGTCCCTTCCCTGCAGCGCAGGCCCCAGGCAGTGTTAGGGCTTGGGGGGGCCCATGCCCGCTGTGAAGCAAAGAGCTGGCCTTTCCCCCCAGCTGCAAAGTCCATAAATCTACAAACTGCCAAAAAAAGGGAAAAAAAAAAAGACATATAGGTTAAAGGACAAGTGGGTCCTGCAGGACTGATCTGTGGGGGCGTTTCCACATTCTGTTCATCGCTGTAACCCCATTAAACTGGCGCCTGCTCACGTCTTGGGTTCTGTGACTTGTCTGTTTCTAGAGTCTCCCGCCCCCCGCAAAAAAAGCAGACAGAGAAGAAGCCTTCCCATTTCTTTAATCTGTGTAACTCACAATGATACTGTACACAAAGCACACCCAGGCATTGGAACGATGCACTAACAGCAAGGAGGAGAAGGAAGTTGTACAGAAGGTTTGTCACACACAAGCGAGTCATCGGCACGGTACTGTACACACAGGGGCATACCCAGCGCGCTGCCGGCGCCCTCGGGCGTGCCCTCCCGTGGGTCCCCACACACACGTCTGTTACCCCTAAAGCAATTTTTTATAAATAAAATATAACTAACATCATCGAAATATAAAATTGTCAGTCTAGGGTATCAACAGGCAGAGGGTGCTGAGGACAGGGAGGGGACTGTAAGGCTTCTAGAACTAATAGGAAATGCAGCAAACGGTGGCGATACCTGAAGAAGGGGCTGCTACAGCAAGCACGGCGGCTGCTGGGCGGAGCGGGAGGTTGGTAGTAACCCTTTGGCTAGTTACTGCTCTCTGCTCCCGTATCGGACGCTGTAAACGTTTTTGGTATTAGAATTTTGCCTCATCTGACTGAGTGATCTAGCAAACCCAGGAAAACAACTCGGAGGGAATGCGTGGGCTCCTCTTTGTTTTTAAAAGACTTTAAAGGGACAGCGTCAGGTAGAAAGTCTGTCCCAATAACGCAGTAATACAAAAAGCTGCTTTTTGTAAAAAAAAAAATCTGAGCTCCACAGCAGAGTTTGATTCCCATGGAAACAATTTAAAAAAAAAGAAAAAAAAAGACGGAGGCAGGCTGCCCAGCGCGGGCTGTATTGTGCTAGCGTGCGAGAACAGGGCGTGGGCTGCAGCAGAAGCAGCGCGCCCATCGCCGCTCGCGCCGAGGGCTGCCCAGACAACGGCAAGAGGGAGGAGACCAAGAAACTTCATATTATTTTGTTTTGAAGGAAACAAGTTATTTATAACAAAGAGAAATGAGGTCTTGAACCTGACAGTGCCCCTTTAGCAAGGATGGAATATACATTCATCTTTCCCTCGCTGCATCCAAACAGACCCTCTTCCATACGTGTGGAAAGGCAGCGGGTCACACGCATCGCTCTCCAAAACAGCTCGGAACAAACAGGTTATAAACACAGAGTGAAACTATTGCTATTGTTCTTGGAGTGAGTAGCACATTGATCTTTGCTTCAGAGAGATGAGTGCCGATGGGGGCGGCTGAGGATAGACTGATGCAGACTACGATGGACTGAATCGGTGGAGATAAAACTTATTGGCGTATTTCCTGGTAACTACACCCACCTCATCTGGTATTATTGCAGCAATAAAGGTCCTGCTCTACAATTGCTTCTCCGCGTTGGATCCGTACAATGGCAACAGATGGGGGGCCAGGGCAAGTTTCGAGAATCTCAACAAAGGATGAGGACCAGAGGTGCTATGATTGTCGGTCTGACTGGTTAGTAGCTGTTTAAAACATGAAGTGATGGAGAGGTGAGTATAATATTGCACTTCTGCATTCATTGACAGTTAACGTTAAACTTGGTCCATAAAATAATTGCTTTGTACATAATGCCTGAAACAAAAAGCTACATTTTTAAATATTAATAAACCCTGAAGGTTCCAGTCCCTCCAGACATTGTTTTTTCCTCTACATAAATAAATAACTTTCCATTTTATCTATCCACTTTTTATGTTGAACATTTACATTTGCCTCTGTTTTACACTATCTACACATAAGAAAATGTGAACATCTCGTCAGCACTGGAAAACGTACAGATCACGCCTTGGTTGTGACTTGGAGGAGAGTTGAATTTTGCAAAGGCCATATCCAAATTTGCAGAAATTATTTTGTGATGTGGTTTGGTGACTTCACAGGATGGATTGTGGCTTGGCTTCCTACTCAGAAGATATATATATATATATAACGTTCAACTAGTGAAAAACTGGGACAATTCACATTGTTTTTAAAACCAGTAAGCTCTGGATTTACATTCCAAGAGAGCTAAGCTGAGCCGGCAGAAAGGGAAGTCAGTTTTCGGTAAGAAAAGTAATCAGATACATTCTGTAATTGAATAATTATCAAAGAGAAGTGGTTCAACGTTTTGCAGCCAGGCTGCAGGAGGTGGGAGATGCGCGGGGCGGCGGGCAGTTGGGTTTGAGCGCTCCAGCAGCTCGGACGCCGTCGGCAGCTCAGCACTGTCCCTCTGCCTCCGCTGCCACCCCCCAGCG